CCCCCCACTAACGCTGACACTGCCCTCATGTGTTGTCCGCTCCTGACTAACTAAACTCGTGATGCCGGGAGCCTGGACCGTGGCACAATGAGAAGCAGGCCATCCGAACTTGAGCCGAATACTTTCTACTTTTTCTTTTCTCACTAACACGTTTCTGACCATTATGAACAACAGAAATGCTCCCCACACTGACTTATAGGGGTTTAAACTCCCTAATTCTGTGTCAAACGCTCTTTAGCCGAGCCCGAGCTCCGTCCAAGAGGCAGATAACGCGTTCCAGGCTTTTGAATGCAAATGGAGGAAATAGCCTCCTCCAGCCGTTGCCGAAACTCTGGGCGGTTTCGTCAGAGGTGCCCGAGGCGCAGACGCCTTCGAGCCCACGAGGAGGCCCGGATCAAGACCGTGCCTGCTCAGACGCGGAGGGAGGGAGGGAGGGGGGAGGAGAGGTGTGTCACCGGGCCTCTGCTGCCAAATCAATCTTCCGATAGGCCACCGCGAGGTCAGCGAGCCGAATGCGATCTTAAAACTCATTTATAGATCCCTATATTCAAATAAAGCCAAATGCAAGCGTGTCCAGATGTTGCTTTTAGGGTACTAGCTTCGCTTTTCCCGCACATGGAGGACTTAATGTCTAGGAACACGACTTTAAACGTCTGAGGCTAATCGGCTGTGGGAGCATCGGTTTTTTTTTAATGTGCCCAGACGACTGCTGGCGCGGGGAAGAAAAGAGCCGGACCGGGGGTGGACACCGGACCGGGGGCCAACGCGTCTCTTGCGGGGGGAAGTGACCCGTGCGCTCCAGACCTCGTCGGAACAAAAAGCTTTGTGGAGCGCTTGGAGAGAGAGACAGAGAGAGGGAGGGAGAGCGCATGAGAGAGAAAAACGAGGGGGAGGGAAGGGGGAGAGGAAGGGAGGGGAGGGAGGGAGGGGGGCTCTCCCGTTTCATCGCAAACTCCCGGGAGGCCAGCACGGAGCATAGCTTCAATCAAACCGTGACGTCTCCTCCGGGAGCTGCGCAGCGCCTGGAAAACCGATCTCTCCGCGGCTCTGTGTCGTGCATCAGCTTTTGTTCACACGCATGTCGCCTCAGCAGCGCGCGCAGCGCCAGCAGCGATGAAGACTGTTGTTTTATATCCAGACAAAAAAAAAAAAAAAAAGGGAAAAAAGAAAAGAGAAGGAAAAAAAAAAAAGCGCGACAACAATGAAACAAGCTCTCGTGCCTCAGCCGAGATAGAAAAAAAAAAAACCTCCAACACCGGCCCCGTTTCTTTTCACGAATTAGACCCCACTTCCTCGCCTATTTCCCCTCCAAACACATTAGATTTGATGAGCAAAAGTGGCCCCGGGATTTTATTGACGTGCTCTCTCTCTCTCTCTCCGTGCGTAATATTCCCTGCGTGTACCCTATTGATCCCAGATTAGAAAAATAGGGACAAACAGGGGGCTAATGGGTTTAAAATGGAGGCGGCGTGGTTGCGCCTTTTCTTCCCGGCGCAGCGGGCCCCGTATCCGCCCTGTGCGGAGCCCCACGCTGACACAGCCGCTGTCACACATCACTCAGCATGACAATAAGCCTCAGCAGGCCCGGAGCTGGTGCTGCCTTCAGGTGATCCCCCCCCACACCCCCCCACCTCCCCCTTTTTTTCCCCTCTGGCCCATCAACATGCCAGTAACCTTAACAACCGTCGACTTCTGTAAAGCGTGTCCTCTCAGGTGTGTAATGAGTCAAACAACTGCATTTGTGTAATGTTTTT